AAAACTTCTGAAAGAAATTTTCAAAAAAGCTTCAGTAGTAATATCTAAAAACGTGCGTGTTCGCAGTTTCAACTAGAAACGAATTAGCAGCCATTCCCTAGAGCCTCCAAAGAGCTTTCTTTTGATATATAATGCAGGCCGCAACCTAGGTTCTTTCATGGTGAAAAAATAGAAATACTGTCGGGTACTATGTTCAGAAGGTCGTTTTGAATAGTATAAACCTAATGGTGTAGCATTTGAAACTTCCTGTGGTGATGGTTCAGTACTTGCTAAGGGAAAATTCGATAATGACACATGCAGAGTAAGACGTTATTGCTGTCTTGGAATCTATTTATTATGTATATTGATGCTTTTTGACTTTTTTACGTTTTTAATGAAACATAGTATATTCAAAATTATAGAAAAGAATTTAAGTAAAATCATTTTACATACAAACAGTGAGCTTTCGACACTATCACAGTATCATCATTAGGCGAATTTTATTATTGTACAAATGGTTAATGTGGCTGGTAAAAATTTGGCAGGTCAATTATTTGCTGAGATGACTTCAGGAGCGGGTTTTGACGATAATCTTTCTGATGGGCTTCTCGGCTTAGCCTATCCAGCTAGCGGCGGCAATGGTGAAACCCCATTATTTTTTAATATGTATAAACAAGGCCTTATACCACAACCAATATTTTCATTTTATTTACATCCGTACGTACCCACTCAGTTTGTACATTTTATTGAATCTTTGCGCAGTAGAAAAATATTAATAGAGACATCGCGTCAAGAATAATCTGATTTTGTTTGAATGAATCAAATGATGGGAAAAATACTCTTGAATAGCCTTCATCTCTCTTCACTTTATTGATAAAAGTGGAAGCAAAGGCTCGATTTGGTGGATAGTTTTGTCGGAGATAGAGAATCGGATGAGAAAATTAACGCTTTTTGATCCTCGAGTAGTGCGTGAAATGTTTTTCTATGGATTTTCTAGAGATCTCGCTTTTTATCTGTCTACGCTACGACCTGATTGATTGCTGATCTGATTGATTGATTTTTATTTTGGTAACAACAGGACTAATATGTGAACACAGATAAACATACAATAAAAACAGACACCTTTGATCTACATCAAAAACCGGTTACCGGGAAAGCAAAAAAAGTGCGATGCACCTATAAACCTTGCTACCATTTTCATAGTTGGAGATGATGCCTTAATTTTATTTTAAAACTTCTGATAGTGGTAGATGAGACAACTGCTTCTGGTAGAGTTTGATTCCAATCTCGCGCTGTTCGGTATAAAAAGGATTGTAAAACAGTCTCCGTTCGAGCAAAAGGAACTTCTACCTGTCTTGAGTGTTGTGCTAACTTGTCTGATCTTCTTGCTGCATCTAACCGGATTAGGCTGAATCGAGAAAGTAGGAAGTGCCCATTTAGGATCTTGAAAAATAGTAGAAGGCGAAAATATTTTCTTTGTACCTTTAATGGAGGTAACCTGAGACCGGATACAAGATCTCTCCCTGATGTATCAAAATCCCATGTAATCATGTGTGCCGCAAGATTTTGTACAGATTCAAGTGAATTCTGTAATGTCTCGAGCTTGCTATCATACAATGCACAGGCGTAACCGAGCTTGCTCAAAACACATGTCTTAAAAATATGAAGCCGTACTGAAGCAGGAGCTTCTTTAAAGAGCTTCTTTTAAAATGAAGCAGGAGCTCATTTAAAAAAAATGGCGGTACATATCACCTAGTCGTTGCCTGCAGATTTTAACCAGGTCGTCTATATGTGCTCGCCAGCTAAGCTTATATGATTTTCAAACATAGAAGGACTAGACTTTGGCTGCGCTGAATGATGGAACTATCGCGTAATTTAAACTGAAAAGTATCAGCTTTATTTGGGCTGTTAGAAACAAACATCCATGCACACTTGGTAGGATTAAGCGCCGTGAGGTTTGAATCACACCAGTCACATATTTTGTCAATATTCTCCTGACGGAATTGTGGCAAACAATCAGAAGTAAGGGGACAAATGAGCGTACAGTCATCAGCAATTAACGAAAGCACGACGCCTGCGAGCAAAAGTTTTTACTAAAGATACGCGGGTTCTAAATGTTTCTGGAAAATATGCATTTTTTTTTTTATATCTTAACCATTGGTAAGAATTGAGAAAACATTTTGTCATAAAGCATCCTTTTCTGCTTCCGAAGATGAAACGTTCGGTTATTTCTTGCGTAGACTTGCACAACCTGGTAAATTAAAATTTGGTGGTGCCGACACAACGGAATACATAGCTCCAATAACCTATACACCGGTAATCGAAAAATACTATTGGAAATTTTCCGTGAACAGTGTTAATGTTTTAAATACAAATATATGTTCATCTGGATGTTATGCCATAGCTGATACGGGTAACACATACATAGGTGATCCATCGTCATACATCAGCAAATTGAATAAATTAATAGGTGGCACATATAATGATAGTATTGGTTCGTAAGTACAAATACTGCGTCACACACATATGCATTAGTACTGCTATTTGTGTATTGTTCGCTATCCTTGGTCAACACTATGCATGAGGCTGACAGGAGAGTACTTTTTTTCAGGTTCAGCTTAGATAAAACACTTTTGAAATCGTTTTACGAACTTTATTTTAAAGTACACACACCATCCATCATGAGCAATTTGTTTTGCGTATGATGTACGATCGGGGAAGAAAATACACGGATCCCTTACTAGGATTCTCTCTCGCATTAAGAATGAGCCATATGCATTTCCTTGAAAGGAAGCCTCATCTCAATACTAATGTCTTGCTTTCACTTCAACATGATACGCCTATCACTCATTGTACTTACGTACCAGATCGATTCTGCTAACGGACTGTTCGAAGTATTACACGTCTGTCTTCTTCTGCTTACATTGTGCTTAGTATATGGTTAATTGTTCACGCAAGCTATCATCGTTTCCAAGTGTGACATTTACAATTGGTAATAAAGCATTTGTCTTAACACCATTACACGATTTAGTGTATGTCAAAGACAATAACAAATATCTTTGTTACACTGTATTTCAAGATGGCGGTCCGACAAATACGAACAATAAGGTATTGTGAGTATTAGGGGATTCTTTTCTTGTACGATTTTATTCGATTTTTGATATTGGAAAAAATCGTGTAGGATTTGCTAAATCTGTATCATATACCGTGGTAGAACCAGTATCTAGTGTATTATTTAAAGGTTGATAATCATAAACTCTCTTTTTATCTAATGTTATTTCCACTTGGTTTAAAATAATAGAGGTTTTCCAGTTTATAACAAAATGAACCACAATTCTTGTTAGAAATTTATTACGTAAAGTACTTAACCTCGCATGCACTTCGTTAATCTAGGTTCACTTTATTCCCTAACACTATTTCTCTATTTATTTTTATTATTATCATACCACAGCGCCTGTATGATATTCACTCACTCTCGCTTTCCTTATGTTCTTTTGTTAATGTTTATACGTATCTGGATGTGTCACTCCACTGTTTTGTTGCTATAGTTATACAGGTGCAATTTTAAACGTGGCGGATTTTTCCCTCTTCCTGTTTTTGTGTTTTTTAATAAAGAGAAGCCTGAAAACTGACACGTAGACATTGAAAATTCTAAGAGGGGATTAATACCTCACATTGGGGATCTCGACCAGATCTGATTCTAGATCCACAACCATTTAAGGATCATCGAGCATCTATTTGTCAGCATTAAGAGAGCAAATTTATCTCTCTATAATCAATCTTAGTTGTAGAGACTGAACTGAAGTAAATTATCTAAATTTCACTTTTTCTCATAAAAAAAATTAACATCTTGAACTTCCCTTCAGACTAAATGTTCATATGTTGGTTTTCGTTACCAAATCTTTATCTTGGTCATTTATGCGACCTATTACTCGCTGTAAGTCTCAATTCTGCTGCAACAAATAATCGAAAACAGTCAGAGCAAAGTTGACATTTGATGCAGTTCAATATTCACGCTTGCACTTTAGAGAATGTGTACCTGTATTAATGATAATATCAGTTCGTTGTTAAACCCAATCTAACATCCTGTGAATGAGATGTGCTGATTATAGCGCTATCCTCTGTGCATCTGACAGAACCGAACTGATACTCACTACTTGATAGAAACTTCAAACATCAGTGCGATCTTATATCGAGTTTTTCCACAGTATTAGATGAAATTTTGTGCGAGAAAAAATGTTTTTTCACAACTTCAAAAAAACTGAAATGACAAGCAGAACATTTTAATCTTGATTAACTACTTGTTGCACTCGCTCTAGACGATCCTGGATAAACGATTTTTACCCTTTTTGAAGAACTCGTAAGTAGTACTCTTGTGAATATAACAGTTTTCTGTATTAATTTGAATTTGAAAATACGATTGTTCATCTTTTGGATGAATATCAGTCTTTATTTTCCTTCCTTTTAGAGTATTTGTTACTAATGTATTGTTGTTATCAATTTCTTCCTCGTCTAAACTATCATCTTGTTGACTTGCATTACTAACATCTACATCTTGTCGTTCATTTTCATCTCCCTACCTCTCATCGTTATTATCAAGTTGTTGCGTTGTTTGTGAATAGTCGGATGTACGAGTCGATTTTGATAAATGATTCTTAATAAACAAACTTAAATGATCTAATTCATAACAATGTTTTTCTTTTAATAAATTTATTATTGCAACATTATTCATCAGATTTTTAGCGGTTTTGTATGCATCAATTATAATCGTCTCAATCATAGAAACATTTAATTTTTTTGATGTATTAGTTGTTGCTGAATAGTTTAATCTGCTTTTATCACATTTGTGATGCGAAGGAAGAATTTTGAAATCATGGTTGTTTGTTTCCTCGAAATATTTGATCTCGTGCAAAACTGACATCCGTTCACATCGTTTAATGAAATCATTCACCGTGAAGTATGTAATTGTTGAAAACTAATTATTCAAAAATCTTATGAACCAGCATCACTTTAAGTGTTTATTTCAAAATTGATTGCAAAAAAGGATAAAGACTAACTGTGCTCTCACCGTCTGCGATCGAATACTAGTCACCTAATTTATGCACGCTCACCATTCCTAACATTGATTATACCATACGAAATGTACTTTTTATGTAGATTTTTCTATCAGATGAGGTGCATATCGCCGTTTCATGAGAAAAGGTAATAACAGGATTTCTGGAAAACCTGACCGTTGGAAAACTGAGTCTCTGCTTTTTGGTCAGAAAGCTTTGCAAACCGTATAGCCTGGTAAAGCATAGAATTCTGAAGAAAATAACACATCTCCCGGCTGTCTATCATCCATTTTCACGCAGCTGCACTCATTAAATCTGTTGCACAAATTCTTGTTAAATGTTTTGTAGGCAAATCGAGCTGTGCCCATTGCATGACACTGGACTTTCAAAGATTCTCTCACTACTGTCGAGCAAAAATAGACACAACATTTCTAAGCCATATTCGCAAAAGAGCACAAAATTGCAGACTTTATCGATTAACTTTTCGTTGATAACATGATGAATCCTCGTTGTTTCAATATGTCCATTTAGGATATGTTTTTCCATGAGTCGTACCTAACAGGCAAGAACAACGATTGTATTTTCTATTAAACTCCTCGATGTAATACGAGCATGGTAAACAACTCATTTTGGCAATTTCTATTTCAACTTCATTTGTATTATTTGTTTCATTAATGCTGTTTTTTAACAAAAAATCAATAAGCAATATTTCAGCGTGTAAGTAGCAAGAGGAAAACACTGTACTCCATACTCCACTACTCCGCGGAATGAACTTCCACTCCGGTTCACTCCATCACTCAGGAGTGGACGAAGTGACAGGTGTTATAACTCTCTTCTCTCGCATTAGTTGATCAGCTGTCTTCTTGGGAATAGTATACAGAACACTAATGAATGCTAACAATCCAAATTCTGAGAAGAAGCGATAATAATAGCAGTTCCTATAGTTCCCATAATTTCCGCAATTCTCAATGTTCCCATAGTTCTTAATGTTATTGTAGTTCCTTTAGTGCGCATAGTTTCTAATGCCCTAGGAACATTGAGAACTATAGGAACTATGGGAACATTAGGAACTAGAGGAACATTGGGAGCTAAACAATGCTACAAATGAAAACAGAATTTGAGAAAGCAAAGCACGTTAATGGAAAACATCAAACTTCATTCACCACAGAGTCACTGCGCCCACCCCGGATCACTCCACTACTCCGTCCACTCCGGTTAAACTCCGCGAAGTGACGGAGTTAGCGGAGTACGGTGTTTCCCCCTTGGTAAACAGACATTATGAACAGGATTGTGTTCAAAGTTGTCGAATCCTTTTAAATGTTGTGTGTAAAAGCTTTGCCTGTCGATTGCTTCCGATAAATTCAATGTCGACGGAGTTGACGTTGATTCAAACAAATCTTTATATATATATTCAAACGCTTTTCTTGGTCTAACGATCAAGATCGGTTTTTCTTCAATCGGTTCAACGAGTTTCCATGAAACCATTTTGTGAATTTGTAAGTAACGATCTTTCAGAGATAAAAAACATTTTAGCAGGAGATTGGTCGATCGCTAATGCGCTGATATCATTTGAAAACAGTACACGCCTCGACTGCCTGTTTCTGGAAAATTATTCAGCATATGCTGAAACAAACGGGATTCATACAGTAGAACTACAAGACCCGTTGCTGATCCGTCGGATCTGCTTTGTTGTCAATTAATTCATCACGCGTGGATAAAAACCTGTTGAGTTGATCAAATAAAAATTTTCGTAACTCGTCAATAAACTTGTTTTTTTCATTCGCATCCGCTGTAACCATCTTTCTTAATTGATTAACGAACAGGTACTTTTTATCGACAAAACGATTTTTTCGGAATTATATTCGAATACAAGCGATCTCAGTTGATCAGTAATCTCAGCTGTTGTCGTATACTCTACGCAATAACCTTGAATATTCTTCCGCCATAGTCTAAAATATTGTTGCGCAATAACTCTAACTATGAACTTCTCCCTTATGACACGATTCTACTACCTGACGTAACAGTACCCTGAGTTCTTTTGCAGAGATATCAGGTCTTACATGAAGATAGACGACTTCTTCTGAAGAAATGTCAAGTCTCTCATGAACACAAATGAGATTCTTGTGAAGAAACATTAAGTGTTCTCTCAGGAAAGACGAAACTTTTATGAAGAAACAAGAAAAGGTGAAGCTCTTTTTCAAAGATAAAAAGAAGTGCTTTCGAAGGAACATAACGTATTTCTTTCAGTCAAATGAACTATTTCTGAAAGTCTTCATTCACGAAAGATGAAATTATTGTGATGAAACATAAAGTCTCCCCCAAGAGATATGAAGTTGTTGTGAAGAAACACCAAGTTTTTCGAACTTCTTGTACAGAAACATCAAGGTTTCCCTAAAGAAAGCACTAATTCTTGCGAAGAAACACAAAATTTTTCCGCAAGGAGCATGAAGTTCTAATGAAGAAACAACCAGTCTTTCCTGAGAAAAGATGAAGTTTTCATGTAGAGACATAAAGTTTTTAGTCAAGAAGGAAGAAATTGTTGTAAGGAAACGTCAAGATTTTTCCCAAGCAGCCTCAAGCTCTTCCGGAGAACTATCAAGGTTTTCCGTAAAAATGAAGAGGTTTTTGCGAACAAACATAAAGTGTTTTCTCAAGAAAGCCGAAGTTCTTGTTAAGTGACATTAAGTCTTTCCTCATGAAATAACAAATTCTTGTGAAGAAACATGACGGTTTCCCTTAAGAAAGAAGAGGTTGTGCGAAGAAACATCATGTATTTCGTCAAGAAAGAAGAAACTCTGATGGGAAACCATCCAGTTTTTCCTATAAAAAGAAATTCTTCTTGAGAAAGATAATGGTTTTCCGCAAGAATGATGAAGTTCTCGTGTAGATACATCAAGTCTTTCCTCAAGAAAGAAGAACCTCTTGGGAAGAACCATCCTCAATAAGGAAGAAATTCTTCTAGAGAAATATCAAGGTTTCCACCAGAAGAATGACGTTCTTGTGAACAAACATCAAGTCATTCCTGTAGAAAGAAGAACCATCCTCAACATGGAAGAAATTTTTCTGTAGAAATATCAAGGTTTTATGCAAGGAAAAACATATTGGTTTTCTCGTGTAGATACATGAAGTCTTTCCTCAAGAAACAAGATACTCGTTTGAAAAAACATATAGGCTTCCTGTAGAAAGACGAAGTTCTGGTGAAAAAACATCCTGTTTCCTTTGGAAAGAAGAGGCTGTGTGCAAAATGACAAAGGTTTTCCTGAAGAAAGAACTTCTTGTGAAGAACCATCCTGTTTTTCCAGGAGAAGCATGTTTTGCAGAATTTCTCAGCGAAAAAACTACAAGGGTAGCCATGAGTTACGAAGATGTTTTAATGGTGAAATTTCGAGTCTGAGGGTATAATTTTTCAGAATGACCGAAAGAGATATATCCACCATCCAGTAATTGGAAGTTGTAGGAAAATCAAGGAATCAAGCAACTCGAGCGAAAGTATATTTTATCTTCTCGAACGTAGAATTCTATCAACTCAAGCAATTGAAGACAAATGTAGGCAATCCAATGAGTAAAGGAATGAGTTACTGCTTTCTTTGTCATTACTGCAATATAGCTGGGACATCTAATCACAACTACACTAGAATTCTATGGATACCTGTATTCCAGATCAAATAGTGATGGGACAGACAGACTTTAATTCCTTGAATTGCCGAGAATTTTTAATTTTTGGATAGTGGACATTGCTGATCGAGCGAGGGCGATTAGGATAAACATCAAAAATCAGAGTCGAGTTATCCATAATAAAATTCAATCCGTTTTCTTTCTTGACTAGGAGAAATAATGTAATAAGAGCAGTTTCATCCGAAAAACCTCGGTTACTTTTCGTGAATGGTATTAATTGCCATAGTATTTTATATTTATCTATCACAGATTTAGTCCCTAGACTGAATGGAGTGGGCCTAGAAACGTGAATTAAAACTATGAGTCTCGGTGTTTGCGTTGGTGACGTCCATGTTTGTGTCTATTTCTTTTTCCACTCTGCCTAGTGAAAAAAAATGAGCGTGATTCTGCAAGTTCCTGCGGGAACATATTTTTCCGTTGGGAATTTCAATTTTCCTGCGGAATATTTCCATTTTTCGGCGGGAAACAGTATATCTAATTTTCTTTGAATTTGTTTAGTTGAATAGGATACTGTATCGAAACAGCTCGTCGCCCACGTATCTTAATTGTCCTAGTAATATTCACGACTATGTGAAAACTTTCTATATGCATTTTGTAGAGCAAGGTGAGGTGTAGCGATTTGTGCTATCAGCCTTTCAAATTACTTTTCACTTTGGAAAAACGCGGATCATTCAACAATCCGTGTAATTCATGTGGTACTCAACCAGAGCATATCGACATATATGGCCAGGAATTTTTTTCTCTTTGAGCTTTTTGAGAAAAAATTATACAAGTGTATGCAGCAGCGCACCCTCTGTCTTGCAGAAGATTTTTTTGACTGTGCAGAACTTTTTGCAGGTTATAATCTTGCAACGTATGATAGGAAGAAGAAGGAGGGACAGTGATTGACTACAGTCATCCATCAATAATTCTTTCGTTCAATTTTCTAGATTTTTCTTTAGCGCCAACTGTAACTTAACGAATTTTATTCTTTCATCGAGCATTGATTCGAAAGAAACTGACGGCGGCGGAGAAGCCGCTTTGATAGCCTACAGTGAGCGACGACAGGATTTACAGTAGTATAAATCGCTAATGTGGAACTTCTCTCCAACCGATTGCTGATGGTGATACCAGTCGTTAGTCGGCGATGACAGACAGGTCAATTACTTCTTACATTTCCAGCGCCCGCAAATATTACATTTATGCGGCATTTGTAACTGGTTGATCTAATGTGATCGACGATTGAAGTTCTTTCAAAAGAGCAAACAACAGATGAAACTGTCCTTATGACCAAAAGCCACGTCTGGTGGAAGACGAATATCCAATTGACGCGCAAACCCCTACTCGTCAGTGCTTGAAAGAAGTCACTGCTGTCAGCACTTGTTTTATTCTTGCTAAAGTGCTAGTCGTCGCGTTGCATGGTATCCAAAAATTTTCCTTTTACTCGATACCAGATTAATTGGCAATATGATGGTAGTCCGATAGATTAACTGACAAGTGTAAAAAACAATACATCATGGCTGAATTCTGCATCATAAAAAAGCGCATTTGATGTACCCTAGTGTCTTCGGCACGAATCTGAAGTCACATTTGGAATCTGATCCTAGATGACTGAAATCAAGTCTTTGTCATGTGTGAAAAAGGATAGTACTGTAACAGTATTTTGACGGTAATTAGCTTCTCGATAAAATTGGAATGAATGGATTTTTCTGAAAATTATGTATGTAGTAGAGTCAAGTGTGGTCATTCAGCTTCCTTTAATGCTCAACAAAAAGACTCAAAATCATAACACATGCACGCGGCTCTTCATACGTTGAAGGCAGATTCCTCCTTCTGTCACTCAACTCAGTTTCACATAGACTGTGGCTCCCCTATCACTCAGGTTAGGTTGACATCGATTGTCTCTTCCTCAATCATTTTGGTAACAGACGCATCGACAGACAGACACTGAACATTATATATATAGATGGTGCCCACCAAGCGGACGGGGTCCTGAATGACCCACGTTTATCAAACCTAATATATCGACTAGTCACTTCCTATGTGCATTTTGTAGAGCAAGGCAAGGTGTAGCGATTTGTGCTATCAGCCTTTCAAATTACTTTTCACTTTGGAAAAACGCGGATCATTCAACAATCCCTGTAATTCATGTGGTACTCAACCAGAGCATATCGACATATATGGCCAGGAATTTTTTTCTCTTTGAGCTTTTTGAGAAAAAATTATACAAGTGTATGCAGCAGCGCGCCCTCTGTCTTGCTGGTACACTTTCAATTGGATTTGAGGGGATGGCAGATTTCGACCCTTATCCAGCGGGATCCTTTTTTCTCGCAACTATTATTACTATATAAAATTTATGACAATTTATTATCTGATAAGATTACACATGTAGAGATGACGATTCTCGTTTCATTCCATCTGCTTCTCATCAAGTCTTAGGTTATGGCAACATAACTAATAAAATCATGAAAATAAAAGCCTTGTCTTGAATGTTATTTTTTCTGTTTTAATCAAATTAGCAATAAACTAACTCAAAGCAAAAAAATCAGTTATATTTATTCTTCATCAGCTATTTTAAGAATTAATTTTCCTTGTGCTTTTCCGCTTTTGGATTTTTCATAAAGTGAATACAATGCTTCAACTCCATCCTTTTGCCAATCAAATACAGTATCAATTAATGGTTTAACTTTATTTGTTTCTATATAATTAGTTCGTATATCATCTAGTTCTTGATAATTTTGACGTAATAAATACCATATATAACCATGATGAGCTGAAGAAAAAACTGACCAAAATTTTCGATTTAATAAACTAAAACCAGCTGAAACGAGTGATTTTAAAGATAAAACTGATTTTTTATCATCACCAACGATAGTAATAAATTGACCACCGTTTTTTAATATTTGTTTTGCCGATATCCATTGTTGTTCACCACCAACACAATCATATACAACATCATAATCTTGACCTAAAGAAAAAAGAATAAAAACTAACGAAAGTTAAATCTAAAAATATTTACCTTGAAGTTCTTGTCCAAAATCTTTCGCATTATAATCAATAACAAGTAATTGTTGTTGATCAGTATTTTCCTCATCTTTTGTTTGTGTTAGTTTATAACCTATAACAAATAAGAAACAGAACAAAAAGATAAATCATATATGTTAATAGATCGAAGAAAACAAACCAAGTTTTTCCAGAAGACTAAAATTTCTTTGTGAACATGTTACTGTAACTTGAGCACCCACTGCTTTAGCCAATTGAATAGCAAATAAACCAGTTGCTGAACTACCACCACATATTAAAATTTTACTTCCTGTTCTAACAGGAGGTGAAGCTTGACTAAATAATACTTGATAACTTGTTTGACATCCTAATGGTACAGCAGCTGCTTCTTCCATTGTTAAGTTATTTGGTTTTAATGCAAAAAGTGATTCATCTCCTCGAACATATTCAGCATAACTGCCAGCATGAATTCCTAGATATCCATACACTTTATCTCCAATTTGAAAACGTTTTACTGCTGAACCGATATCGACTACGATTCCAGCAACATCACAACCCGGTGTATGAGGAAATGAATAACGACTAGCAATAGATAAATTTCCATTTAATAATTTCCAATCGACTGGATTAATTGAAGCACTATAAACTCGAACAAGAATTTGTTTAGACGATAATTTTTGAGGTACAGGAACATCTTCGTGAAGTGTAAGTACGTTACGTGCTTCTCCATAATTATTTTGCTGAGCAGCTTTCATTACCGAAGGGATTTCATTGTCACTTTTTGTAGTAGTTGTTGTTGCAGACATTCTAACAGAAATAATGCTATTAATGAAAAATTAAATATAAATATTATTTCTTCTTATTTAAATCATTTAGAAATAGGATTTTATACAAAATTTAGATCTTTCAAAAATTAGAAATAGTGCAAAAAACAAAGATCAAGGTTTTTTATTTGTATGACACATGTGAGAGTAGTCATATGATACACATCTATTTAATAAAAGAACCAAAAGAATATGACTCATGCATGTTTATCTGTACTATAATTGTCTATTATTATGAATGTATGTGATGTATAGGATCACTTATTTTATCAACTACACTGGCGGCAAAAAGTATTTGTACGATTTTGTTTTACTGATAACTCAGTAACGAAGGTATTTCTTAAAATTGTGAAACTACCAGGAGAATACTCGTTGGCTACGCTGTCTATGATAAAATTTCGCAATAACTAGGTCATTTGAATCTAGACTTATGGCTATACTAATAGAGAGGCCATTGTTTTTTTGGCACATAGTATTTGTACGGTTGATATGAAAACTACATCAATTGAGAGAAGAGAGCGCGGGCTACACTTTGGTAAAAGAATAATTTCGAAAGGCTTTTTCCTTAGGGTGAAAACGCGACTTTAAGCCAAAAGTGTCATACTCTTCAGTGTGACTGCTCCATCTCAGGTATAAGTGACCAAAAAACAAAATTCTGATCAAGTCATTCGAAAGAGCATCAGTTCTCACAGCATCTTCCGTTACAGAAAAAATTGGTACGGACTAAAAAAAAAAGCGTAGGTCCGTAACGCCTGGACAGATCGAGTACTGTTATAAAGATCATGGTAATGGAA